GAGAAGCTCATAGCCCAAGTTGTTTGAAGTCCAGTGTTAAGTTTCCACAGTCTGTGATGGTTTGGGGTGCAATGCCATCTGCTGGTGTTGGTCCACTGTGTTTTTTGAAAACCAAAGTCACTGCCCCCGTTTACCAAGACCTTTTAGAGCACTTCATGCTTCCTTCTGCTGACCAGCGTTTTAAAGATTCTGAGTTCATTTTCCAGCAGGATCTGGTGCCTGCCCACACTGCCAAAAGCACCAAAAGTTGGTTAAATGACCATGGTGTTGGTGTGTTTGACTGGCCAACAAACTCACCAGACCTGAACCCCACAGAGAATCTATGGGGTATTGTCAAGAGGAAAATGAGAAATGAGAGACCAAAAAAGGCAGATGAGCTGAAAGCCACTGTCAAAGAAACCTGGGCTTCCATACTACCTCAGCAGTGCCACAGACTAATCACCTCCATGCCACGCCAAATTGAGGCAGTAATTAAAGCAAAAGGAGCCCCTACCAAGTATTGAGTACATATACAGTAAAAGAACATACTTTCCAGAAGGCCAGCAATTCACTAAAAATTTTTTCTTATAGGTCTTATGGGGTATTCTAATTTACTGAAATAGTGATTCGGTGGGTTTTTGTTAAATGTGGGCCAAAATAATCAAAGACCCAACAGCTTAAACTACTTCATTCTGTGTGTACTGAATTTATATAATACTCGAGTTTCACTCCGAGTTGAATTATTGAAATAAATGGACTTTTCTACAATATTCTAATTTATTGAGATGCACCTGTATATTCCCCATTTGTCAGGTCTGTTAGTGTGTGTTTGACATAGTGTGCAGTTGTGTTTGCTTTATTCCGAGTTTCCTCATCTTTTTGCTGAATATGAATAAAGGGGAATTCAGTAATTAATGTGCATCTCATCTGAAGAACTTAAAAGTTCATGCTCAAAAGAATCAAAGGAAATACCCTTAATTTCTGCACATTGGTATTAACATTAAAAGCAGCCTGCCAGAGAAAAGAAAAGGAATTAGAATTCAACCCTTAAACAGATGCCTTTGGCCTTCACAGAGCCAAGACCAAATTACACTCTGTGTAGGCAACAGGTAAAGCATGTTTGGTCTCATCAGTAAATGAACCACAATAGCACGAACAACATAGTGCAGTGCCAGTGTCAGATTCACTATAGAACAAGCGGTTTGATATTGGAGAGTTCTGAAAATAGAACTTGTCCAAATGACCGACAAAGATGTTTTTGTGGTGTGATGGAATTCAAATGCAGAATTGGCTGAACTGACTGCAGCACACCTGTGTGTTCCATATTACTGCCAACAGGCCAACATTAATGATGGAACCATTAGCAGCATTGTGACCTTTACTTTTATCATCCAACACTCATTGCTGCAGTTATGAACTATTGTTACAGCTTTATAAAAGAAGCTGCCTTTGAGTGAGATCAGGGTAATAAATATACAGTATACCCATGTTATGTTAGGTGTTACATTAGTTTCCCTACTGATAAACATATGAACAATGCAGGTTTCTTCTCAGGACATCAGCTCTATTAACACACACACACACACACACACACACACACACACTTCACTTTGATGTTGAAAGAGCAATAGATAAAGAGTTTTATATGGTGCACTTTACTTAAAGTGACCTTCTACAAGGGCCAAGATTTATGTTTTCAAAACCCCTCTCCTACCAGTGATCTTCCAGTGACTGGAAATAATGTTTTGAGTGAAGGACTTCTGTCTCAGACAACTAATTCAGCTCAATTAGCATCATTGTCAGTTATTTACAATACATCTTATACCATATAACGGGGAAGCAAAAAAAAAAAAAAAGACCCACTTGTTACAGCTTTTTGGTATTTACTTCACCATCCAGATTAGACACCTAGTACTAAAATACAACACAATATGGACTGTTATACAGAAATGATCTGCTCAAGGTTAAATAAATAGTGCAAATTAATATAAATCCAAAGGGTTAAGTTAGTCACACTGCTAAATAAAACTATATGATGTAGAACAAATGAAGCCAAAATTATTTCATTTATTACAAAGTTCAAAAATAGGCTTCAATGAATAGTAACAGAAAAAAAAAAAAGTATACTATGTGTACAACACCACTGTTCATGTGTGGATATATTAAAGTTATGCTCCAACTAAAACCTAATTTTTGATTATCAAATATTCACCCCCTGGAAATTTGAAGCGTGGCTGTAACAAGGCTGTTTTCTCCACTACAAAGCACAGCTTCTGTGAAACAGCCACCTTTTAAGGCTACAGAACACGTTTGATATTCAAAATATAGATTGAGGGAAAAATCATGTGAACACAAATTTGTGACAATTCATCTAAAACATGCAGCCTGATAGAGATTATCAAAGTCAAAGTGAGGAAAAAAAATGAAAAAAAAAAAAAAAAAATTTAAAATTCTCCCACATCCACCCTCTTATCCCTGAACTTGCTTCTGGCCTTGGTCCGAGCCTTGAAGGCAGCAGAATTGTGGAGATGCTGGAAAAGAGAAAAAAAGGTCAACACGTTGGGGGAAAAAAAAAAAAAAAAGCCCAACCACATACTATTTCTCCCTTTTGACAGAACTAGAAAAGACGTACCCTTTCAAAGCGAGAGATTTTCATGGCCTTCATTGTGGCGGAATCAACCAACATGGGTGGTCCGAGTTCAAACACATCTCTGATGAATTCATTTGCCTAATGTAAGAAAAGTTGAATAATTTAGAATATTCTGAATTTGAATTTGCTTTATCGACCAGGTGTGTCGGACACATGAGGAATTTGACTCTGGTACATAGTCTCTCAATGTGCATGTACATATCCCCATGCAAGGGGCAAGTAGTAAACCAACATAAGGCTGTTTAGTATAACAAAATAAGCAGTATTAACAAGCAACAAACAGTGCAAAATAAACAGTATAAACAGGCAGTCAACAAATCAGACAAAGGAATGCTCATTGTTGAAACGAGATAGAGTACTTAAAAAACATAAACCTGTACATATGTACAGTATATTTACAGGTATTGCACTGAGGATTATTGTCCAGTCATACTGCCGTGTTAATCAGTGACAGCCCGAGGGAATAAACTGCCCTTGTGCCTGGTTGTCTTGGTGCACAGTGACCTGTAACACTGTCCAGAGGGAAGGAGTTTGAACAGATTATGTCCCAGGTGTGAGGGGTCAGCAGTGATCCTCTCCACCCTCCTTTTGACCCATGAGGTGTACAGGTCCTCCATGGAGGGCAGGCTCACACCAATGACCTTTTCTGCAGTCCTGACTGTCTGCTGAAGTCTGTACTTGTCCTGTTTGGTTGCTGAGCCAAACCAGACAGTGATGGAGGTGCAGAGAACAGACTC